TACCAGCACCTCCCTCGCCCCCTCTCTCCCCCCCTCTCTCGTCGGTGGCACTGCCGAGTTTCGCCCGCTTTGTCACCTGCTCACCACTTCTCGCATCACCATCATCATCACCACCGCTGCCGCTGCCGCCACCATCAAACCGCGTGGCTGGCGACGACGATGAGGACGACGATGATGGCCCCATTGCCGATGTTGTCGATGACGTCGCTGTTGCTGCTGCTGCTGTTGCTGCTGCTGCTGTTGTTGTGGCTGTTGTTGTTGCCGCTGCTGTTGTTGTGACTGCCGTTGTTTGTGATGATGGGGCTGGTGTCGACTGACATGTGCCATCCGCAGCGATGGTGTGCGACACAGCGGGCGAAGACGCGCACGTGAAGCTCGCGTCCTTGTAAAACGTGACATCGCTCTCCGATTGCGTCACAGAGCTGTCAAGGATGGCCTGCATAAACGCGTCCTTGCGCAAGTCCTTGAAGTACAGGTCGTGGTTGCACACCGGACACACCCACGTCGGCCGCTGCTCATTTGCCTGAAGGAGGAGGGCGTTGCGGTGGTGGTGGTGGTGGTGGTGTGCAGATGTACGGTGAGCGTTGCTGAAGCCGCACGAATTGGTCAACGACAGACATACGAACGAAGAAAACGGGCGCACGAGCGCACGAGCGCACGAGCGAGTGAACGAACAAAACATTGACACAAACAAACAAACAAGCAAAACCAAAACAGAAACGAAAACAAAAGCAAAACAGCCAAAAACGCACTCTGAGGTAGCTCATGGCATCGAAGCACTGCACGTGGCTGCATTCTTTGCCTTTGCACGCGGTCTTGATGCGCATGAGCGTGAGGGGACAGCGCAGGCGACACGGCATCGTGTCCTCAACCACCACCGCGTCATCGTCGTCATCCTCATCATCGTCATCGTCGTAGTCGTCCGTGGATGTGCTGCTGGAGATGGGTTTGAGCTTATCAATCACTGCACGTGGTGATGTGGTGATGTGTTGATGTGGTGATGTTGTGTGAGGGGGGGGGGTGTCAGGGTCACGCGAGCGAGGGAGGGGTGGCAGCGTGGCATACGCGTCCGATACACACACACACACACACACACACACACACACACACACACACGCACACACACACACACACACACACACACACACACACACGCACACGCACACACGCACATATATACTGACACGAGACACATACTGACAAGCGACACAGATTCAGACGCACAGACGCCCAGGCACACAGACAAACACGGCAACAAGAGCAACAAGAATTACAAGAATTACAAGAACAACACCACCAACAAGACTGTGCCTCACCGAGCTGCCTGCCAGATTGAAAGCTCGTGGTCAGGATTTGACCAACAATGTCCGCCGACGTCACAAGCGTCGCCACCACAACCTGATGGAGCCGCAACAGTGGTGGTGGTGTGAGGTGGTGGTGGTGTGATGCGCATGTAGAGATGGTCAAGACTGCAAATGGGGGTGAACATGCCTCCCACCACATGATCACATCACATCCTCCCAGTCTTCATGCGCGAGAGTGTGTGCATGCGCCACAGCAGCAGCAGCACCAACCTGCATCACCGCCACCGCCCACCACCACCGCCACCATCATCACCACCACCATCATCATCATCATCATCATCATCATCATCATCACGGTCGTCACCTCAATGACGGAGCGGTCAAAGGTCATAATGTGGCGGGAGAAGCGCTGGGCGGTGAGGGTGAACCGTGACGCGTACATGCCGTACTGCCGCCGGTGCACGTGTGCAGTGATGTCCAGCGGCTTCGAATACCGCTGCACACCCTTGGACGCGTCCCCGGGGCGCTGGTGGTGGTGGTGGTGTTGGTGGTGATGCGTGGTGATGTGATGAAGGGGGGTGGGTTGGTGGTGGGGTTGGGAGGGTGGTGGTGATGGATGGATGCCGTAGAAATAGCTGTGAGCGTTGCACGGAGAAGAGCTCGCTACACACATTCACATTCACACAAACACAGACACATACACACATCTTCACTCACAGACACAGGCACACAAAGGGTGATGCAAGGAGAGTGCAGTGCACGCGTACGGTGAGCTTTGTGCCGTTGATTTCCCAGAGGGCGTTGGCGGGGAAGAAGTCCTTGCAGGGCACAGAATCGCGGGATCGCGTCTCCTTTGGGCGAAACCCACACCTGCGCATGAACACACGCATACGCACATACACACATGCACACACACACACAGCATACACGCGACATTGTGATGTCGTGAGTTGGCACACATGTGAGTGAGGTGTGGACAAGCAAGCAAGCAACCAAACAAACAACGAAGCACGCAACAACATGCCATCTGGCGAAATAACCACCACTATCACAGCACAACTGGCACCACTACCACCACCACCACCACCACCACCACCACCACCACCACCACCATCATCATCATCACACCTTAGGAAGATGCGGAGGTTGGGGTTGTTCCTGCAAACAGGGGCGAGCAAGCAAGCCAGCAAGTGGCGGCAACAACGTGCGCGAGGGATGATGTGAATGGGAATACACGCATATTCCCAAGCCATGCAACATCACGCGCATATGTGTGTGTGTGTGTGTGTGTGTGTGTGTGTGTGTGTGTGTGTGTGTGTGTGTGTGTGTGTGTGTGTGTGTGTGTAGTCTGTATGCGTGCATGTGTGCGCCGGCGTGTGTGTGTGTGCGTACTCTAAGAGGGTTCTGTGCTGGGCGGAGAACGGAATTTCCAGCGTCTTCCGCTGTGATTCCACAGTTGCTCCTGCCACAATGACCGCAATGGTGGTGGTGCATGTGCACGCAGTTGTGTGCAAGTAAGGGGGAGGGGGGCGTGTCAGGTGTTAGAGACAAGTGGCTTGTGCAATTGGTGGTGTTGCGGATGATGCTGGTAATGATGGCAGCGATGGTGGCGGCAGCAGCCTCTATCACACACAGTTGACTCACACTTGGGCATCACATCTCCTCGTCTCATCCCCCCCCACACACACTCTCTCCACCACAGCCACGACAAGACCACAGCAACAACACCAACACCACGCCACTACTACAACTACACCGCCACACCACGCCACCATACAGCAGCAGCACCACCACGCCATCGGCCTGTACCTGGTTGTGGCGGGACGTCTGACAGGGCGACGGGCCCGTACACGCGCACAACGTCGCGCAGAAACGGCGACAGATACAGGTAGTTGCCTGTCAGCGGCACGCCTGCTTCATATAGTGATGTGACGTGGTGATGGGGTGATGGGGTGATGAGGTGGTCGGTGGTCGGTGGTGAGCGACGGTGGCAGCATGGGACGTAATGTGGCACAAGAAGACCCTCCATTTCCTTTCTCTACCAGACAGACACAGGCAGACACAGACAGATAGACACACACACACACACACACACACACACACACACACACACACACAGACAGACACAGACAGATAGACAGACAGACAGACAGACAGACAGACAGACAGACAGACAGACAGACAGACAGACACACACACACACACACACACACACACACACACGCACACACGCACACACACACACGCACCTGGCGGGTCTGGCGGGCGCATGTTGACGGGGGGCAGCGACGACGTGTTGTACGGATGGTGTTGATGGTGGTGTTGGTGTTGATGGCGCGCTCGGTGTTGTCTGGTTGGCGGTTCCATCGCAAGCAACCCACACAATACAAATACAGTGATGGTATAGAGTCGAGAAGTGAGGGGAACGAATGTGCTCACGAGGGAAAGTAGATGTCAAGTACTTGGTGTGGACAATAGCTCAGGTTGTGACGACACCTTGAAACGACGTTGCACTCAAGCGCTCACATTTACACACACACAGACACAGACAGCCAAACACACAGACACAGACAGACAAACACAAACACATACACACAGACACACACATAGACGCTTCAGCACAACAACGACAACCCGCTCCAGCCATCATTTGAGATGTGTCAACGCACTTGTGAGCGAGGGCGGTCTTGACACGCGCGAATGTGTCTGGTGTCGCGTTTGCCTGCAGTCGTTCGATCAACGCCGTCTTCTTGCCTGCGTGAGTGTGTTGGGGATGTGCATGTCGGGGCGTGGGTGTATGACGTGATCAGGTGGGAGCAAGTGCATGCACCGTCGTGGGTACGTGTGGGTCGACAGGAAGGCAGTGGAGGTGACAACAGACATACAGCATACGCGCGCGCAGCAAGCAGCGCGACTGAACATTCATGTGTGTACTTCACAAACAAAGCCGCAATAATGCCGCAGCCAGAAGGCGCCCCTGGTATTCGAACACACACACGCACACACACACACACACACGCACCTGAAACGGGAAGGCCGACGGACCGAAGAACATCCTTCAACTCCTTCACAGTCAAGCCCCTTGCGAGGTCCTCCTGCAACCCGGGACGCAGTTGCACGAGGCAGAAGTTAGCAGCAGTGAGTGTGTGGCGGGCAGGTCGACAGAGACGGTGTGTGAGGGTTATCACACACACAAACAGGCGAACACAGGCCGACCGTCGACGGAGGCAGCGGGAGAGGGAGGGAGGCAGGAAGGGAGGGAGAGAGAGATGGGCAAACACACACACACATACAGACACTGGCACACGTACATACACACACAAGTACACACAAGTACACACAAGTACACACAAGTACACACAACACAGGCACACACAAGTACACACAACACAGGCACACACATACAAGCTGCATGGACATGCCCAGGAGTTGCTCATCCACGCCGTAAGCTGCTGCAAGTGGGGTTATAGAAGGGAGGCAGAGCAGGGACAAGTTCAAGCAATTACACGAGTGAGCACAGCACAGCATAGCACAGCGCAGCAGAGACGACACGAACAAACACTGCATCAACATACGCGTGTACGCGTGTGTGTGTGTGCAACTGTTGTGTGCTGGTGTGATGGACACGCCATCACTGTCGCGAGGCACAACAAGAACACGAAGAGAGACAGGAGCAACATTCAAACCTCAAAGTAACCCCAAAGCAACCCCAAAGCACCACACGCCAACAGCACACCTTGTTTTGCTTGATGTGGTGGTGGTGATGCGTGGCCAAGCCAGCGTCGTGGTCGTGTGGTTGTGGTGTGGTCTGCGAGCGAGCGAGCGAGCGTGTTGCCTTTCCTCTCGTCTTGTGTGTCTTGTGTGGAGAGGGACTTTTGCTGAGTCAGCGAAAATTGCCGTTGTCGCGTGTGTGTGTGTGTGTGCAAATCCCAACAGAAGACCTGCTTGCTTCACCTGCTTGGCTGGTGAGATGAAGTCGTGGCTTGTGCCCTGTGCCTGTGCCTTGATGACGTCTGTGCTGGTGAAGGGCCACTGCGCTGTTTGCTTGAGGCGCGTGTTTTGGTGCGCGGTTTGGTCATCGCTGCACCTCTCTCATCGACCGTGTCATCACGTGCGCGCACGTGTGTGTGTTTGTGTGTGTGTGTGTGTGTGTGTGTGTGTG